CCGGCCCTGCCCCTGGCCCCCGCCCTGCATGGGCCGGCCGCGGAGCTCGCAGCGCGCCCAGCCTCCTCTCACCCTCGCCCGGGTCCCCTCCCGCCCGCAGCACTTCCTGCTGCAAAGCGGCGACCGCGGCCGGAGCCCGCCGCGAACGCGCAACCTACCCCACCCGCGAGCGGGAAGGTGGGGCCAGAAGGGAGTGACGGCGGCAACTCGCCAATGGGAAGGCCTGAGGGCTGAGGGGGCGGTGGCCGTCGCGCCTTTTGGGGGTTGGTTGCACAGTGCAATCCCCACTCCCCATCCTCCCTGGAGCGGTCTGGAAGGTTAGGTGCTGCTGCGTTAGGGCATTGCTGAGGGCGGGCTTTGGAGTAGGGGCGGGGGCTGCGGGCTGAGGCGGACCGCGTCTGGTTGGTGGTCTGAGGGACCCCTCCCCCGCGAGGGAAGGCTGTCTCGGATCCCCTCCCCCGCTGTAGTTTGCAGGGAGGGGGCACAATAGGAATATTTATGATCACTATCTTTTTTTGGTCCTAACTTTGCACGTTATATTACATTCATCCCGCCAAAGAGGAAGACATTGTCTCCTTTAGGATGGTTTGTCTGAGTCACAAGCCTATGCCCCTGTTCACAGTGCAAATCGATCCTTCCCCCTCTTTAACTACACAGCTCGTGAGCCTTTACTTAGTTATGCTTTTATTAGGCAGTACTTCATATTAAAGCACAACAATGTACGTGAAAGTCCCCTGTTCACTGTGAAGCAACTTTTAAATAAAAATGGATATAAATGGCAGGAAGTTGATACACTTAGAAGAGTACAAAAGGAATGCTACCTATTTTTCCATCAGCATCAACCAACCTATGCTGAGTGCAGTGGAGGCAGAAGGCAGCAATGCCGGGAGTAGTGACAACTCTATCTGCAAATTGCATGCCTGTTATGGTTACAGTGGTCTGTGTTTATCCAGCAACCAGTGGTTTTCAAGTGTGCTCCTTGGACCAGCGGCAAGAACATCACCTAGGAACTTGTGCGGATTCTTAATTGGGGCATAGGGACTGCAAGTTTGTAATCCCAGCACTCAGACTAAGGCTGTAGGATCTCTGAGAGTTGTCCCCAGCTTGGGCTGTATACGTAGTAAGAAAGGGAGAAGGGGCGGGGGGCAAATTTTTGGACACCGGCAAACCTACTTGAATCAGAAGTAGTGGGCTCAGAAATACCTTTTGAGAAGGGCTTCGGTAATTCTGATACAGGCTAGCACCTGAGAAACATTGGCCTAGCCTGTGGTGAAGGGCGACTCAGTCTGTGATGATCCCTGAAGGGTTTTGCAGCTTACCAAACTTCTTCACACCCCTTGGTTCATTTGAGCCTCCTTCAGTGCCACTAGTCTGTGAGTTTCCTGACTGTTCTGTCTTCTCATTCCAACCACTCGTTTTAATGTGTATCTGAGAAGAAACCAAGTTGTTAAGAATTTACTCCAGTCAGGCAGCTGCTTTCTAAATTTCTAACTGAAATTCTAAACTAAGCAGTTTTATTTTTGCAGATAGGAATTTCGGATGGGCTGGGAATATAGAGCCACCCGTCACTTTCACTACAGAGTGTCAGGCACCAAGTGCAAGCACAAAGCATAAGCTCAGCATTCTCAATGATGAGGAGTGGCAGCATGCCAGTGTGAATGGTGGGCGGGACTCAACGGAACTGGTGGGGGCAGATAAGCTAGCCCTGCAGGGTGGAAGGTGAATATGCCCTCTCCTGGAGGTGGTGCAGGCCAGGGCACTGGCCCTGCAGATCATGGGGAAGGCTTGGGTGGCAAGTGGTGGTGAGCAAACAGTGATGACACACAGTGGTGGTGAGTAGACAGTGATGACACGTTTGTGACCTGACTTTAAGCTGAAAGAAAATGGAGGAATTCTACACAAGCCTCCAAGGAAACAGCATTAACTTGAAATTTTTGCAAAATCAGCTTTTCTTTTTCTTCTTTCTTTCTTTCTTTTTTTCTTGTACTGGGGATTGAACCCAGCCCCTCAGGACTAATTGTGTGCTGTACCACTGAGCTATCCCCCAGTCCTGTACTGTGTGTGCCAGTTTTCCAGTTACATGCAGTGGCAATAATCACAACACACCTATCTTTTAGGGTTTTGTGTAATATGTGTAAAGCATTTACACATCTCCTGGCACAGAGTAAGGGCCATACCTGTTATCACAGACATCCAGTTTCAAAAGGGTTGCACATTTCACTCCAATGGGACTTCAGGCATATCCCATCCATTTCCAAATTCACAGAGTGACATACTATAAAACAAACATGCAAATGCCAGAGAAGTTTGGATAGGAAGTCTATATAGACACCTGAGTGACCTACAATTGCTGGTTCGATGTCAACTACAAATATTCATCAGCTGTACTAAACTATTGTGTGCTTCATAGAACTTAGAAGTATTTTGACTGATAGAAATTTTCTTTAAAGGACTATCGTTCTACTGTTCTGTTTTTTAGGGAAAATATAACTACAAACTATGTCTTAATATTCATAATAAGTCAAACATTTTCAGATTTACAATGGAAGTAGTTATATTTGATATGTAGGAGTAGCATTTTCCTTTGTGTTTTGGCACATCTAGTTAATTATAAGTAAATAGCATGGTGTAGTGGGAAGAATATGGTCTTGCTGTCAGAAAATTCATCTAAGAATTCTGGTTCTGTTACTCCTTGTGATTTTTGGGTAACCAAAAGGCTTAAATTCTCTTAGCCTCACTCTGTTCGTCTATAAATAGGGCTAACAGCACCTATGTCCTTGCATGGTTATTGTGAAGATTAAGCTAGATAATGCATGTGAAAATGCACTCAGCAAACCTATGAAACAAGTAACTTGTCTGCACTCCCTGTATATTATGGGAGAAAGGCAAAATTAGCCCACTAAATACTTTTCATGAACAGAAACCTGGGTTGAAGTAAGGAAGAGGGGCATCCTTGGCCATATTAATTTGCTAAACCAGTAAGTGTATAAACAAAGAAGATGAGGAGCAGGTTTATGGAATCCAGCATCCTTGCCAACCTCTAGTTCATGTAGTCTGATAAGCTGGTGACTCCTTATGGAGAATAAAACGCCAGTGTCAACAGAGAAGTGTACAGTGGGGTTCCTCCTCTTCTTACAGAAACAATTATACCTGAGAAATAAAAGTTTTCTCTTTGTGCTAATAGAGATTTGTAGATTGCCCACAAAAATTCTGTTTTTTATGCTAAAGGAATATTAAAAAGAAAACGGTTAAATAGCAAATGGATAAGTAGTTATCAGAGAACTATTTCAATATTTAACATTCTGAGCAGAGTGCTTAGAAGGTAAACATACTCTATAGAGCACTTAGACATAATTTGGATCACTATATTTTGATACCAATATCATCACACATATCTCTTTGTGAATGTAATTTTCTTCCTTTTCTGTGGAAGGTTAATACTCCCACACTCAATGCTCTTCTTAAAGGAAATTGAGTTTAACCGAATATGGAGGAGTAAACTATGCAAATAATCAACAGGGAGATTGGCTAGACTGTTGATGATGTCACAATCCCACCACCTAAGTAAAGGTTTTTATTGGCTATTGCAAGAGGCAGGGAGGACTAGAAAGGCACAGCATCCTTCCAGAATGGGGGAAAGCTTTGAACCTAAACTGAATTTTATCCTTTTTTTCCTTGAAGCATACTCAGGAACATTTTACATGTTATTACGTTTCCCCATATTATTCCATATGTTATTGCTTAGTCATGTTCTGTATATATAAGTAAACATTTAAATAGCTGCTTAATGTATCAAATGAACATTTCAGGGTTTATTTAACCACTATCTGCTTTATTCTTAAGCACTAAAATTGTCTCAATTTTTGGCCTTTAGAAATGAAGCTGCGATTACTATACTTATGGAGAAATTATATATATTATTTCCTCCACAGCATAGAATCTCAGATACTTATCTGGCACTATTTCAATATGCAAGCAAAGCCTGACTTCCAACCTTGTGATCGTCTTGTTCACAGGATCCCTAAGAGTTACTCAGAAGATCCCAGTGTCTCTATCATGACTGAGGCTGGTAAATCTCCTATCTATAGTCTAAAAAGCTGGAAGTCTCTGATTCTCATTCAGGTGGGGTCCATATTTCTTATTCTGGGAGCTGGGTGCTTCTCAGTAATGGGAAAAAAGTCATGGTAATCATTTAAACAGAGGAGGTCTGTGAAGCATAAACTTAAACCCTGATTGTACTGCTGTGTGTGGAAGCCTGACCTAGTAAAATAGTGGCTTTGTGTCCTTTCCCATCTCTATAGGGAATCCACACAAATGTCTGGACAGTCTGTTACTTAAAGCTTAAATTTCTAGACCTTAAAAAGAAAGAAAGAGAAAATACCAACTTTACTCGGAGAGAATCAGTCATTTATTATCTTACATCTGAAGATAAATACCTAAGGCAGTTTTGTCTATTATTCTATGTAGATACTTTTAGATATAACAGCAAGAGCTTTCACTGATATCTGTTCCTTAAGGAGAACCACAGGTGTAAGGAATTTTGCTAGGAATCTTATAAGTATCCTCTTACTTAGTCTCCCACTAGCCTGCCCCTAAGTTTTTACCACTCCACAATGAGGAAACACTCTCAGAGATGTTACAGCACTTACAAGCGGCTGAGATCTACATTCAGATCTGCCTGACTCCAAAGCTTGAATGTCTAATAGTCCACCCTCTTCACAATAATAATTTGGAGCTACTCTTAGGTGAAGAAACAGTTCAATGTACATTGCTACATTCATTCAAATGTCTTTCTGAAACACATGCCTTGTACAAAGGCTTTACAGATGGGTGTAGAGAATACAGGAGAGTACACAACATTGGTTTCTGCCTTTACAATTAAAGTCAAGTTGGACAGATGAGACCCAAATCCAATGTGAAGTTAGTAACACAAGGTTGCAGTGGTAATGTCTGTCATTGCTCGGGGTGGCAGAAGGGGAGAGATAAGTTCCACAGTCCAGAGGAGAGAGATATTGCTGTGATGGGTCAAGATGACTCCAAGGAGCACATTTATCTAAATCACAAGTGTTAAAAGGATAAGTATTGCTTTAGTACAATTCTCATTTCTTAAAGTAGATAAGCACTACATAAATCATCTTGAAAG